CACACACAGACACACACACACAGACACACACACACACACACACACTGTGGACTAGTTGAATAACTGACAGGAGTTCAACAAATGCCCTGGTAGCGCCTGCAGACTGACACAGCAGGCAGCTGGTATCGGTCTTCACGGTGCTATTAAAGTTTTCCCTGTTACAGACCAACGTGGCTACCCCCCCTGAAGCTTTTGGTAAGAACTGACAGGAGTTCAACAAATGCCCTGGTAGCGCCTGCAGACTGACACAGCAGGCAGCTGGTATCGGTCTTCACGGTGCTATTAAAGTTTTCCCTGTTACAGACCAACGTGGCTACCCCCCCTGAAGCTTTTGGTAAGAATTCACGAGGTTACTCGACTGTTCGGTTAACCGATATTCAGCATCCCTAGACGAGACCACATAACTCACCAGTCTGTTGAAAGGTGCATTGGGACATTTCACGATGCCATGAAACACGCTGCTGGTGCAAGTGCATCGCTCATGTGCGGTTCTTGGCTGTCTTCACCCACAGACACAATGGCCTGGAAAATCTAGCCAAATCATTCTACGGGCTCAGTTCTTCCTGCTAAGACTGGCTATTTCAGACTATCGCGATCTGAAGATGGCTGCGCAGTCGGCGCCGAAGGTTGTGCTAAAGAGCACCACCAAGATGTCTCTGAACGAGCGGTGAGGAAGCCAACAGCAACTTCAGCTCATAAGAATTTTTTTACTTAATTGTCACTGTGTCCAGTGTCCAAAGCCAACGTGGTTTCTGCCCTGTTTTAACCTAACTAAAACAAAGCAGGTGGCTATGCGCCTCTGGCTTAAGTCTCAGCAAATGTGGTACACAAGGTTAAAAGGGCAATTATCTTGGAGGATTTTGTCAGTAGCTGTTAATATTAAACTGAGACATAAATATGGTGGGATGTTTTATAAAAAGAGAGAAACCTCGCACCCTCCCTTTTTCTTCCACATGTTTTTACATTTTAAATAGTTGACACTGCAGCATGGTAGCATGTTACCAACGCTGCAGAAGGCTTGTTGCTTTGTCCAAGGTAGACACACGCATGGGTCTGGCCTGTAAGAGGCATGCAGCAGGCCACCAAACCAGCCCAAAGGCCCTTTAACAATGTTCTTGGGCCTTGTAAGAGGCAAATGCTTTGCTTCATCTCCATCGCTTTTCTTTCTTGGCACTGCTTTCTTTTTGTTTCCTCTCTTAAATATCCTCCAGCACTTTCATGCCATTATGCTTTTGCAAATCTATAATGACGAACTAACAGTGATGCTTCTGATCATTTTTCACTTACTCACTCTCAGATTAAGCGTTAATGTCATTAAACCAAAGAGAAATGAAGCCATTTATAAGTTGTCCTTATTTCGGTATGGGCTGCACTTTTAGCCAGTGCCTGTGGCTTATGGCAGGGCAGGCAGGTACCATACAGGGGAATTATGGACCTGTTAATTTGTTAGTTCTAGTCAGACCACATTGAGCACTTTGTAGTGCTTCATTTCACTGTCATTTGTGGCTTTTAGGGTACTGGTAAAAGAGCTTACTTTTTGATCATATGTTCATGCCACATAATCTTAAAGGAGGAAAATTCCCAGCATACCAAAGAAATTCCTAAATGCCCAAGAAATTGTATTCTGAACAAATGCTATCAGGTGGTACCTCCTGTGGTTCTAGAACTATCCTCCTTATAAGTATTATGCCAGAGCCTTGCTTTTCTGTTGTCCAAGTGACATGCCTACTGCCCTCAGACTGTTGATTTCTCCCCTAAACTATCTGTCTTGGCTTTTGGAGTCAGATTTCTGTTTGCTATTTCTCTGTCTTCTCCTGTCTCTTATGGTCATTTCTGCTTGTTGCTTGTTTTTCATAACTTCCTCCACTCTTAAAAGCAGTGACTTAAAACTTTGTCATTTCTTAATTATATGTTGCACTTATCCAAATCTGAGTTTCCTATTCCAGCACGTTTGTGGAAAACAAGGAATACATAACTCGCATATGACATGATCTAAGTGTACCACTTTTTACATAAAGTTCATGGGATCTGGAGCTCCAGTCTTGAGAGCCATGAAATGCCATAAATGTTTGTAATAAAACTTTATTTAAACACACATTTTGTTCGACCTTGAAGCTTCACTAATATGCTGAAGAACAAACAGCCGATGCCAGTGAATATTCGGGCAACGATGCAGCAGCAGCAGCAACTGGCCAGTGCCAGAAACAGAAGACTGGCCCAGCAGATGGAGAATAGACCTTCTGTTCAGGCCGCGTTGAAACTTAAGCAGGTGAGATAAAGTGTCCTGTTCCGCTGCAGACAGTTGGTGGTGCCTGTCAGCAGCTGGTGGCTTTTCAGAATATGAGAATTTTGCAAGATGGCACATGAAAGTAAGATCTGCGAATGTTTGGAAGCACTTCAAGAGAATTTCACATTGTCGCTGCAGACAAGTAATGTTTTATAGCCTGTTAATTGAACTAAGTGGTATTAATCTGTCATACCTCTATTGGTTATTGTTGGCTTATCACAGCTTTTTCCCTCTCCCACATAAGTGGTCTGGTTCCAGTTTTCTGGGTCTGCTGAACTCTTGTTACTGGTTAATGCTTTTTTTTGTGGGGATGGGAACTGCCTGTAGATTTCTGCTGTTGCCAGCAGTTGGAGCACAACTACTACACGTACTAAAACTGAGTTCTTGGTTTCTTGTAAATTCTTGCTAAAGAAACAGGAATCTTACTACTCCTGTGAGCCTCATAAACTGGCTAGAGCCATATGCTGCTGGGCACTGTAAAAGTTGGCTTCCATTTTGTCTCTGATTTGATATTCTAGTGTGGAAGAGCAAATCTGAGAGTGGTCTCTTCATATTGACATCACATTTAAATAAGCCTGTGCTCAGAGAATGGGGTCTGCTACATGTGAGCCCTTGTTAATAAGATAGCGATTAGAATACATTGCCCCAGAGGTAATTTGCTATGTTCCTGGTGCCTAAGTGCTTCCTATCAGTCACTTGTTAGAGCAGAGAAAATCTGAGTCTCTTGAAATGTGTACGTACGGTGCAAGGAAATAATTAAAACACAGGTCTTGTAGGGTGGTGTTACCCTGCTGTGTGCTAGTTGTACAGCACTACATGACTCGAATACAGTTGTCATTCGGTATGACCCTGTATATCTTTGGGCACCCAGGAGAGAACTGTTGAAGGTTCCTATTTGAGCTGTTTCGTCACATAGCTGGAATCTTTGTCTGACTCCTGTGCTGGAGTTTTATGCAACTTCATGGCACTTGGAACCCACAAGCCTACTGTTCCTAAAATCCGAGCTAAGTGCTACTAAGACACAATTTCTGTCTGGATCTTCTAAACAAAAGCTGTACCTAGGAGTAATGTTATGGTTTTAACAGCATGGGTTTATAGTATTGTCTCAAGGGTTTCCCTAATGATGTGAAAGGATAGGCAAGTCTAAGCTTATAAAGTACACTGCCTTGTTTGTGAGTCAGTGTGTCTGAGGTGGGGGGAACGTTCTCACTTCACTTCACTGACACCTGTTTCGTTTTCTCATTGGAACTGGGTCCGTGCACACGCACACTCTTAGGATTAAACACTGTTCTGGGTCTCACCTCACTGTTTAAGAACAAAGTTTGTTGTGTTTGACGCTCGTTTTGCACAGCTCCCTGTCAGTTGAGCATAGGTTATAGTGGCCAAAAGCAGCTCAGAGGAGTCCTAGAGCAAGACTGGCCTCTAATGCCCATTCTCTTGTTGTGGAACTTGGGCCGCATTGATGAGCATTATGGAAATGCAGAAGTAAGTCTAATGTGGAAGTACAGGCAGCAGATCAAGTGGAGCATTGCATGCTGTGACTGGTAGCCTGCATGGGTCAAACCTTATTAGAAAGGACAGCTGCAGTACGTTTCTTGGAAGTGTGAGGATCCTAGCGTAGTTTAGTAGTGTTGGGGTGCTCTTCGTTAGTCATCACCAATTCCCTTCAGACGGTGTGTTCACTGATACATAGGGGAACAACGACTGTTCTTATCCTGTGGCGACTGAGGGATCAAAGGACCTGTTTCTGGCGCATAGGTCATTTGGGGTACTCCAGTGGGCCATTAGGGAGGCCATGCCGCCACAGCTATAAACTTTCAAACTCAGCACCTAGCCTGCTGTTGTGCTAGTGTCCTATGCCAATGCAGAGTGCAGGGGACAGGTTTGACTGCACAGGGTTTGGTGTTGTAGACCTTCTTGAGGAGCATCTAAAAGCTGTTACACTGCCTGAAACTCTGAAATGCCTGGAATCTTATAACTATACTCTCAGAATCATAGAATACGAGGACTGGAAGGGACCTCAAGAGGTCATCAAGTCCAGTCCCCTGCCCTCATGGCAGGACCAAATACTGTCTAGACCATCCCTGATAGACATCTCGAGCTAGCTGGTATCTATCATCATTCTATCCCCTGCTGTCCCCTCTTCAGAGAAGTTGGGTGAAAGCAACTTTAAAAATTGTGCAGTAGTGTGATATAATGCAAACAAATCCCCAAATTAAGGCTGAAATATATTGGGCTGTGTGGTATAAACTGGGTCTGTTTCTCCTTAACTGCCTTGAACTGAGTTAGTAGGCATTTGAGGAGAGAAAACAATCACAGTCTTAGCTCTTTCTTGGCTCTTGTGGCTTTTCCATTGGAGCTTAATGCAGATGTTTTGGAGAGGGTGAACATTCCCGTTTGTGCTGCTTCTAAAGACAGATATGGAAGGGTACCGTCTGTCCTCAAGCAGCTGGTGTAGTCTGGTTGTCTGGGAAAATCTAAATATGGTTGCTACAGTGAGATCATTGGAACTGAAACTTCAGGGCATATGATTAAGAGGATGACTGCAGAAGTATAATTTGTTCTCTTGTGACTAGGGCCTGAGCACCTTTCACAGATGGAAGGCAGTAGCCACCTTGAGGGTTAGGTGCCTGGTTTGCTCCCTAGCTGACAGTTCTCAAATGGAAATGTCTGGAAACAGTGTCTTCATGCTCCTGGGGGATGGTCTTGGATGCTCTGGGATTACACATGACAGACTTTCTCTCTAGACCAGATCTTTCTTGAGACCTAAACTCTTTGCAGTGCATTTTAGGCAATGTATAGATTCTGCTCTCTCTTTTGATGGTCTGCTTCCATCTGTACCAGTTGCATGATCAGTCCCTGGTAGCTGCATGACTTTCCTGTTTTTAAAAACATTTCATTCCAGAAGAGCTTAAAGCAGCGCCTGGGTAAAAGTAACATCCAGGCACGATTAGGCCGGCCAGCAGGACCCCTGGCTCGTGGAGCTGTTGGAGGACGAGGGCTGCCTATGGGTCAGAGAGGTTTGCCACGAGGAGCCATGCGTGGTGGGCGTGGAGCGAGGGCGTTGCTGAGAGGAGGCATTCCCCTCAGAGGTGAGTACATTATTAATCTGGGAAATAAAATATCCCCGAGAGTGTTAATCCTGACATTCAGTGGCTTCTTGCTAAGTTGGACAACTAGCTTCTTGTTTTGATTTACCTCATTTTGTCACCTTCTCCCCATTAAAGGTCAGAGTTTACTTCGGGGAGGACGAGGCATATCCCCTAGAATGGGCCTGAGAAGAGGTGGTGTTCGAGGTCGTGGTGGACCTGGGAGAGGTGGTCTAGGCAGAGGAGCCATGGGTCGTGGAGGAATTGGTGGCAGAGGTTAGTGTGCTAGCACTTGGGGAGGGATGAGGGGAAAAGAACCTAAAGCAGCCTTTAACATTCACCTCCTTGGTTAAAATCTAACGTCTCTAAGCACTCGTGACATAGAACCTCCACCCTAATGTTACACTTGTTTGTATCCACTATACAACATATCATCAGGCACGTTTCCATTTTCCGAATTGTTGGTTTTAGCAGCATTTGTGGTGAAAGGCAAGATCCCTATTGGTGTCACTGCTTCCCAGAGGTAAACTTCAGTAAACTCAGAGCTGATAGGTAAGGTCCCATGGGAAGTAAGACTAAGAAAAACAATTTAAGACAGTTTTTCAAAGGGACATTATTAAGGGCCCAAGAGCAAACTATTTCACTGCATAGGAAACAGGAAGTATGGCAAGAGACCTTAAATTATCTAACATAAAAAGGAGTCATATAAATGGAAACTAAGTCTAATTACAAAGGATGAATATAACTAAAAAACACAAGTATGTAGGGGCAAAAATAGAAAAGCAAAGGCACAAAACAAGCTCGATCTAGCTAGAGGTATAAAGGGTAACAAGAAAACATTCTACAAATATATTAGAAGCAAGGGGAGCCAAGGACATTGCTCAATGAAGAGGGAGAAACAATAGCAGAAAACATTGGGAATAGCAGAGGTGCTTAATGACTTCTTTGTTTCAGTTTTCACCAAGAAGGTTCATGGTGACTGAATGTCTAACATAGTGAATGCTAGTGGAAATATGGGGTAGGTTTAGAAGTTAAAAATTACTTAGAGAAGTTAGATATCTTCAGGTCACCAGGGCCTGATGAAATACATCCTAGAATAGTCGAGCTGACGGAGGAGGTATCTGAGCCTTTAGCTCTCATCTTTGAAAAGGCATGGAAGTCAGGAGAGATTCCAGAAGCCTGGAAAAGGGCAAACATAGTGCCCATGTATAAAAAGGGAAATAAGAACAATCCAGGAAACTAGAGACCAGTCAGTTTAACTTCTGTGCCAGGAAAGATAATGGAGCAAGTAATTAAGGAATTAATCTGCAAACACCTGGAAGATAAGGACAGCCAGCATGGATTTGTAAAGAAAAAATCATGTCAAACCATTCTGATAGCTTTCTTTGATAGGTTATCAAGCCTTATGGTAAGGGGGAAGCAATAGACGTGGTATAGCTAGACTTTAGTAAAGCATTTGATTCGGTCTTATGTTTCCCAAGTTTATTGATAAGAACGTCATGCAACCTAAATGGGGCTATAACTGGCTGGGTAACCATTCTCAAGAGTCGTAGTTAACAGTTCACAATCCTGCTGGAAGGGCAGAACAAGAGGGTGTTCCGCAGGGGTCTGTTTTGGGACTGGCTCTGTTCAGTATCTTCAGCTATTTAGCTGATGGCATAGAGAAGAGGCTTATTAAGTTTGCAAATGATACCAAGCTGGAAGGGGTTGCAAGTGCTTTGGAGGATAGTGTCCTCATTCAAAAGGATCTGGAGAAACAGTCTGTAGAAAATAGGATGAAGTTCAATAATGCAGAGTACTCCACTTAGGAAGAAACAATCCATTTCTCTCTCTCAGAATGGGAAGCGACTCTAGAGAAGGAGTCCTGCAGAAAGGGATCATAGTCAATCACAAGCTAAATATGAATCAGCAGGGTGACATTATTGCAAAAAAACCTAAGTTGGAGTATTGTATCCAGTTCTGGCCACCGCATTTCAGGAAAGATGTGGAGAAATTGGAGAAGGTCCAGAGAAGAGCAACAAAAATGATGAAAGGTCTAGAAAAGATGATCTATTAGGGAAGACTGAAAGAAATGGGCTTGTTTAGTTTAGAAAAGAGAAGACTGAAAGGGGACATATGATAGCAGCCTTCAAGAACCTAAAAGGGAGAAAAATGGTTTTTGACCTCTTGAGGACAGGACAAGAAGCAGTGGGCTTAAACTGCAGCAAGGGAGGTTTCAGTAGGACATTAGGAAAAACTTCCTAACTGTCAGGGTGGTTAAGCAGTGGAATAAATTGCCTAGGGAATTTGTGAAATTTCCATCTTTTGGAGATATTTAAGAGCAGGTTAGACAGACATCTGTCAGGGATGATCTGCATGGTGTTTAGTCCTGCCATGAGGGCAGGGGACTGGACTCGATGACCTCTCGAGGTCCCTTCCAGTTCTCGTGGTTTATATTGAAATCATTAATGGGGCACCACAGCAACCAGTGCTCCTTGTGAGCCACATGTTGTGGCTTTTTAGTTTAGCAAAAGGCCTATTGATTTCAGTGGGAGTTGATTTCCAAATTTGCAGCCCCTGTGCTCTTGATATAGTGGTACATGACAGGTAAGAACCTACAATTCGCTTGCTTTTGTGAATTGGTATTGGAGATTAAACATGATTTTCCTAATCTCCCTGGTAGAATGGTATTGATTCAGTCCCAGTGAGTTCCAATGCCAAACTAGGTCTCTGAGAACTAATGTAAATTTGGTGGGATGCGACTAGACCAAGCTCATTCCTAGCCATTAGTGGCATTGCCGTTTTGACTGAAGTTTAGTAGGAAGGGTGGGGAGGAATAAATGCTAATTGTACTTGGCTGGCAACTGTCTAATGCCTCAAGACTCTGACATATGTTAGGGATTAATGCCAGGCTAAAACCTTGTGGACATGCACAACCTTGTACAAGACTGCGACTTCAGATGCCATCTCAGTGGAGTCTTTGCTCCTTTTAAAAATAGAAGTAAACAAAAGTACATATACTAGTTACAACACTCTATGCAGGGCTCGACAAATAATGCAATCTACTCACCATTGCAACCCGGAAGAGCCGGGTTCGGGCGATCTGCACATGCACAGATCGCCAGACAGCACAGCTGGCGAGCGGGCTTCCCGCAGTTCGGCAAGCCCTGACTGTATGGATTTCCTAGCGCTGCCGCTGTCTCCCAGAGTGACATGGGATCATTAGTGCTGGTGCATTCAGACTGCGCAGTGACTGGATGTGTCCCCTCAGAGAAACATTTCTCTCTGCTTTTGCATAACTGACTATATCACCATAGTCCTGCTCAGTTTCCCTGTGTAGACTAGGGATGTGAAAAATCATGTGTTAGGGTAACCACGTAATTGCTGAAAATCTCAGTGGTTACATGGTCACCCGCAGTATAGAGCATAGCTTTATATTGCAGAGCCCGCAGCACTGCCTCCACTAGCCCCGGTCCATCTGGCCCCTGGCGAGGAGGCTTCACTGCACTGCGAAGCCATCTCCCCAGGAGCTGAGAGTAACTGAGGCCACTAACAGAGGAGCATATTTGTTGAAACGATTATTCAGTTACTCTCCAACATCCCAAGAGTTTGTTGTGATATAGATAAGCTTGCTGATAGCTCACGGAAACATGAGAAGCTCTGTGGCAGGTGTAGAAAGGTTCGTGAAAGTGGATGTGGAGGAGGAGATGAGGGTACTTGTAGTACCAGAGGAAGGAAAAATCCCATGCAAAGAGTTAGGGGCAGCGTAGGTGGCAATATGCTATGGAAAAGTATACAGATGTAAGCAAGTAGTTGACTACCACCTTCCCCGCTTGCTGCCTCTTTAAGAGGTAGGAAGGGGGGGCAATTCCTCCCAGCACCATCTCCACTGTGCTGCTCCCCCCACTGCCTGTATCAGAGGCAATAAGAGGGGATAGGAGAGGCTGTTCCGGCAGCAGCCCCTGGCTGGGCGGGGTCGGGGGAGTCCCTGCAAGAGCTGAGCCTCCCTGCAGATAAGGGCTGCTGCCATGAAGCAGCCCCTGTTTGCAGTGGCCTGGGCTGGTTGTGGGTAGGGACTGCTGGACCCAGCTCACATGGGACCAAGACTGCTGTGCCTCTGCCTTTTAAATGTAGTAAGAGCCATTGCACTCTTACTATATTTAAAAGGCGCAGCGATCCCGGAGCAGGCCTCCCCTATCAGCTAACTGCATCGACTACACGATTAGCAAATTACCTGTTCATTAACATCCTTAGAGTATGGGGAGCTGCTGAGGGTGGAGGGTGAACTTGGAGCAGAGAGAAAGGTGGGAGACAGCTGTTCAAGGTCGAAGAGACACGTGATGCACAAGGAGAGACTGACTTGACATGGGGCTGATCTGGTCAGCAGCCTGACTCCACCTTGCACATGGCTCGTATGACGTTGTTTAGAGTGCGTCCCCAAACTCCTCTGCAATGAAAAAATGTGAAAAACAACCAATAGTCCTGCAGCACCTTAGAGGCTAACAGACAGTATCACGAGCTTTCGTGGGCCCAGCCCACTTCAGATGATAGAGCAGGGCGTCCAGGGTACAAATAAATAGCAAAGAGAGGGGGTGGGGATGGAAAGAAAAAACTGGGGGAAAATATTGTCAATTGGTGTCCATGCTAAATGAGGCTTATAGAGTGGGCTGTAAATACCCTGGGCGTAGCTTTTTATGTCAGTGGGCTGTTGAATGTAGTGGCCCATTCTGTTCAGGTCTTTGTTCAGACCTCAGTTCCTGGTGTCAAACTTGTAAATGAAACCGAGTTCTGAAGCTTCTTTCTCAAGTCGGCTTTTGAAATTGCTTTGTAATAAGAGTCACTTTGAGATCCATTAGTGAGCACCCGGGCAAGTTGAAATGTTCCCCAGCAGGTTTCTGTGTTACCATTTGAATAGCGGATGTGTCCATTAATCCTGTGTTCTAGAGCAGGGGTCAGCAACCCTCAGCACGCATGCCACAAGTGAGCTGGTTTTTACTGGCACACAGGGCAGAGCTCAGCCTCACCCCTCCCCTGGTGCAGCTGTTGGCAGGAGAGGCACCTGTGTGTCCCACTGGGGCTGACCTCCTGCTTCGGGAGGGAATGGGGCTGGGCAGCAACACATGTGGCGTGCCAGAGCCTGGACTGCGCCGCGGTGCTCCCTGTGAGCTGTGCGGGGGCAGGGAGCTTCTCCCCTTGCGCTGTGCTGCAGCCCCAGGCTCTGCCTGCCCCAGAGCTGAAGGCAAAGTGCTTGGATCATGCAGGGAAGAGATTCTCCCTCCTCCTTGCTCCAGTGCTTCTCCCAGGGGGCTCCAGCGCTGTTGCCCTGCTAGTGAATGCACTTGGGGGCAGGGGGGCAATGCAGGGGATCAGGCTGGGGGTGGGTCATGGGACTGAGGAGAACAAGGCTGGATCAGAGGGAAGGTGTGAAGAGGATACAATCTTACTTTGCAGAAGCTGCACTTCCCTTTACTTTCTACTTCTTTTCTTCCCTCCCCAATTAGCTATTTGGCTGCATTCTCACCCTCCCCTTTTCTACATTACTCCGCCAGCCTCTTCCCACCCACAGACTCCCTCTTATTCCCCCACCCCACATCCTCTCCTGCCACCAAATTCCCTTCTGGACCCTGCCCTCCTCACCCAGTCCTATGTTATGCTTGTAAGAAGCACACAGGATCTTTTTCAGGGGAGAAGGCAATACACTGTTTGTTGAGAATACAGTAGAGAAGTAGTTAGCCATATGCTTTATAAAGACAAACACACACATCCTGCAGATGGTGCATAGTTACTGGTCCTACTGGCCAGGCAAGGCTGGCTGAGCACTTGGGGGCAGGGGGGCAATGCAGGGGATCAGGCTGGGGGTGGGTCATGGGACTGAGGAGAACAAGGCTGGATCAGAGGGAAGGTGTGAAGAGGATACAATCTTACTTTGCAGAAGCTGCACTTCCCTTTACTTTCTACTTCTTTTCTTCCCTCCCCAATTAGCTATTTGGCTGCATTCTCACCCTCCCCTTTTCTACATTACTCCGCCAGCCTCTTCCCACCCACAGACTCCCTCTTATTCCCCCACCCCACATCCTCTCCTGCCACCAAATTCCCTTCTGGACCCTGCCCTCCTCACCCAGTCCTATGTTATGCTTGTAAGAAGCACACAGGATCTTTTTCAGGGGAGAAGGCAATACACTGTTTGTTGAGAATACAGTAGAGAAGTAGTTAGCCATATGCTTTATAAAGACAAACACACACATCCTGCAGATGGTGCATAGTTACTGGTCCTACTGGCCAGGCAAGGCTGGCTGAGCGAGAAGTCAGGGTTCCTCTGAGGCTTGGCTTGCAAGACTGATCTCGGGAGTCCCATGGCCAGAGCTTCCCTTCCTATACATGAAAGTTCCCGTTGGAGTCTCTGGGTTTTGCAGTGTCGTGACACTCCCAGCTTAGCCAGAGTGGGGCCGATGATGTCACTACTCAGCACTGCGGGCATGGTCAGTTGGTGTGATCCCGTTGTATATAAATCCCCATACTCACTGTCGGAGCGCGGATCACCCACTAGCACTGCGTCAAACGAAGTCGAAGCTTCAGCTGTCAAACCAGTTGGGGTTCCGCAAAATTCTTTCGAGTTTAAAAGGGTTCTGTGGCCAAATAAAATTGGGAAACACTATTCAAAGCAAGTCGTTACATCAGATCATTAGGCATCATACTTATAATCTTAAAACATGAGAGAGTAAAATATACATTTTTGCTACACCTGCATGCCACCTCCCACCCAGATCCTGCATCCCTATCCCACTTGCTGGCCATCTGGTCTCACACATTGAACCCCTCATTTTTGTTCCCACCCCAGAGCCTAAGGGGGTCCACAAAATCCTCTAACTCTGGAACCCCAGAAAAGTGAATCTAGCCTATGAGAAGCCCTGAATCTTAGTCCTCCTTGTCCCTCCCCCTCACCTTGTGGGGGTTGGACTACCAGACGAATGAGGTGTCTCAGTTGGGGGCCACATCAGCGAGGGTTGCGACTTTTGGGAGATTTTTTGCTTCTCGCTTGTGTGGTCCCCAACTGATTTTTCTTTGGGTCAGTGACCCCCGACCCAGAAAAGGTTCCCCACCCTTGCCATAAATAAAAAAGCCATTGAAACCTTTTTTATTGGACATATTTTACTTAATTTATCAAACTTCAGTTTAAATAAACATGAGAGTCAAAACACTTAATCTGTTTAATAATTATACCGGAGCCATTTTGCTAGTGCTGCAGCTGGGGAGAACAGTTTAATTTAAATTATGTAATTAACTGAGTTTCCATTAGCAACTGGTAGTCCACGGAAAGGTTTGCATTGACCTGGGTGGTGGTTCAAGGGGCGTGCAGTGGAGAGAGCCCTTCCCCCCCGGAGGAGTGGAACAGCCCAGGGCAGGAGGGTTAAATCTTGGCATGCCACTTCAGAAAGGTTGCTGATCCCTGTCGTAGACTCTAGTTAGGCCAGTGTACACGGCAGAGGGGCATTGCTGGCACTTGATGGCATAGGTCACACTGGTGGATGTGCAGTTACATGGCCTCTGATGTGGTGGCTGACGTGGTTAGGTCTGTGGTGTCACTCGTACAGCTGCGTGGATAGAGTTGGGACCAAGCAGAGTGAAGGTGTGCTGCACGGCTACTGGGAACAACTCATCTGGCTCTGTCAATCTGTCTTTTAACTTCCCTGAGTGGGTATTTCAGTTTGAAGAAAGCTTGATACAGATCCTGTAGGTGTTTGTGGAATTGGAGCAAATCTGGGTTTATTTTAGGGCCTGGCTGTAAACAGTTGATTGGGAAATGTGTCTTGGAGGGAAGCTAGGGCATCTAGGTAAGTGTACCAGTTGGTAGGTTTCTGGGATAAGGTGGTGGAAATGTGGCCGTTGTTTCCTTGGCAGGGGGTGGATCTCTTGTGTGGACTGGTCCAGACTAAGGTTGATGGTGGGGAGGAAGTGGTTGAAATCCCTGTGGTTTAAGTGGAAAAACAGATTGACAGAGCCAGACAAGTGCCCAGGCATCAGCTTCTTCAAGATAGGCCCAACAAAACAGAACAGAACACCTCTGGTCATCACCTACAGCCCCCAAATTAAACCCTGCCAGCAACATCATCACAGGACCTAACCGTATAAGCCACCCCATCAGAAGCTCATATCCACCAACGTGATCTATGCCAGCATTGTCCCTTTGCTGTGAATATTGGCCAGACTGGACAGTCTCTACGACAGGATTAATGAACACAAAAAAGGTATTCAAAATGGTAACACACAGGGATGTTAAATATCAGTTAATTGAATAGTTGAGTAACCTCATGAATTCTTATCAGTTACTTGACTAGTCTATAGTCCAGTGCACTCCGGCCTCACTCCTGAGGCGCCCTCTGCCACTTTGCGCTACTGCCTCTTTATCAGAGGCAGCAGCATGGGGTGCCGGCGGGAGCTAGTGTGTGACGGGAGCCAGTTTAAAACCCAGCTTCCCTTGCGGACTGGCTGTTTCCCAATACTGCTGCCTCTGATAAAGAGACTGCAGCAGGGAGTGGCAGCAGCTTCTGTCTAGGGAACGTCTGAGCTCCCAGACTCGGTGCAAGCCGGACCTGGGCTGCCGGCCTTTGCGGCTTCTAATACCCCCGCTGTGGTTATGCATTTGAAGTGTGAGCCAGGACTGAGCCAGGCTGCCTACTAAAAAGTTTACTGGCAGGAGAGAGGGGACAGAAATGTGTGGAGTCTATAACACAATCTGTTGGGGAACATTTCATCTTGCCGGGGCTCTCACTAATGGATCTCAAAGTGGCTCTATTATTACAAAGCAATTTCAAAAACCAGCTTGAGAGAAGCTTCAGAACTTGGTTTCATTTACAAGGGTGACACCTGAAATTGAGATCTGAGCAAGACCTGACCTGGATGGGTTGCTACATCCATACCATAATGACATAAGCCAGTGGTCACCAACCAATTGATCGGGATCCACTGGTCGATCTGGGAGCCACTGACAAGGGATCTTGACTGGTCTGGGCAAGAGGCTGTCAAATGCTAGCACTTCAGTTTCCTCTCCCTCACTGCTGTGCACCTCCTGCCCTTTGCCTTGGAGCTGTCTCCCTGCTGCTTTCTGGGCAGGGCAGGGAGAGGAGGAGGCGCTGATGTCAGGGTGCCCCCTCCCATCCTATATTCTATCTCCGCAGAGGGGAGGGGGGCACAACAGGGCTTGGGATGGAGGGAGTTTTCTGGCTGCTTTGGAGAGTGGTGCAGGGCCAGGGCAGGGGTGAGCCAACCTTCTCCCCACTGCCCCACCACCCAGGAGCCACCTGTGGTAAGCAGTGTCCAGCTGGAGCCTGCATCCTGAACCCCTGTCCCAGTCATAAACCCCCTCCTGAGCCACAAGCTCCTGCCCTGAGCCCCCTTAGAGCCAAGTTCCCTTACAGAGCCTGTACCCTGACCCCCTCCTGCACCCCAACCCTTGCCCCAGTCTCAGCCCCTCTCACACTCCAAATCCCTTAACCCAAGACCAGAGCCTGCACCCCAGTCCTCTGCCCCTGCCTGATGAAAGGGGGGAAGGATGGTGGAGTGAACAGCGGTGGGGCCTTCGAGAAGGGGCACAAAGGAGGCGGGACAAGGGAATTGGGTCTGAGGTAGATCCTGGACTGTGCTTAACTTCAAAAAAGTGATCTTGTGCTTAAAAAGGTTGGAGATCCCTGACATAAGCTAAGCCCTGGGTACTTAGAGCCCACTCTATACGCCTCATTTAGCATGGACACTCTGACAATATTTTTCCCCATTTTTTCCCTTCCCATCCCCTCTCTGCTATTTATTTGTATCCTGGACCCCTTGCTCCATTCACCCGAAGAAGTAGGCTGTGCCCATGAAAGCTCATGATACCATCTACATGTTTTGTTAGTCTCTAAGGTGCAGCAGGACTATTCTTTTTTTTTTTTTCTTCCAGTTACAGACTAACATGGCTACCCCCTCTGAAACTCCTCTACACTGAGCATGGTTATATAGCTGAGTAGCTGCTTCAATGGACTACCCACCTGTGTGTCTTGCCTTGTCTAGGTAGCATGGGGAGGCCCAATTGAGGGCACATGGGCAGGGACTAGGTCAGTTGCTTAATGTTTGTTGCTCTCTCTTTCCGTGTCTGCTGGTGCATTTCAAGTCTAGTGCATAATTGTAATCTCATTTCACTAAGGTCGTGGCATGGCAGGCCGGGGAAGAGGGGGCTTCGGTGGTCGTGGCAGAGGCCGAGGCCGAGGAAGAGGGTCTGCACGTCCTGCGTTGACCAAGGAACAACTGGATAACCAATTAGATGCGTACATGTCTAAAACAAAAGGACATCTCGATGCTGAGCTGGATGCTTACATGGCTCAGACAGATCCCGAAACTAATGACTGAATGTCCTTCTGATAGACTCTCATTGAAGTTAATGTGTATGTCAATGCCCATAAGCTAAAAATGGAAAAACCTGATTGATGCTGGAAGGACCTGCAGGAACAGGGGCGGCCCTGTTCTACCAAGAGATCAGATTTTAGTGTGTTCCTCTTACATTTTGATACTATATGTTGTATGAAACCTTTTTTGAATTGGTTTTTATAATTTTTCCTAACTATGAACATGAATGTGACAGACCTGCTGCAGATATGGCCACTGACATTGGTAATGGAGTGCGCTCAGCACGCCAGCCACACCGTGTTGGCACACTGAGTTCCTTTGTGCTTCTAAGGGAGAATGTTGCATGTATGCCACAGTCTGTGCTTCTTTAGGTGAAGTGCTCATTGGTGCTGAATACAAGCTACGGGATTACATGGTTATATGTGCCTATTACTCTTAGTAGTTTGTTTCAGGATAGGAGTTGATCCCGTAGTGAGGCTGAAGGGTAAATATCTACATTTGCAGTTTTATTGTTGCAATAACACATCTGAAGTAAACATACCAAAACGTCTCCCTCCAGGACTGCTTGATCAATCAAATGCAGGTTGAGGAAGTTAGTGCTCCTCTATTGTAGACATGTCAATCTTTTATTTTGTACTGACATTGCATCCCCATTGGTTGCTAGCAAAGAGGATTTTCCAGGTAAAAGGCTATTTTGGGGGATAACATTTGAATTTCTTTTGTATCATGTTTGAAGGGATGTCACTAATGGCTTCTGTGTACCAAAATCTAGAAAAATAACTTTTGTTTTAAGGATTTTGAAAGAAGCACGTTAAGGGCATCTGAAAGAGAATAATGGGTAGAAGAGTCTCTCCAAAGTACTGGGTCCAAAATTTGTTTGATCAGCAAGTGCTGTTACCTTTCAGTGCAATCAGCTGAATTTGCAATCCAGACCGACTTATGGTGGTGCATTTAACCGAGGTTGGCTTTAGAAATTGAAGGGGTTTGCTCTCCCCTTCCCCCCTCCTGCCCCCCCGGAAGATTTAATTTCAACCATCCTGTGAACTGTTGCAGTTTCAATGGAATCTTGTATTTCTGGTTCTTTGTGACAAAGGAGAAACACTTACAAAAACAACGTGGACTTTGTGGAGTTTTTAAATGCTGTAAGTTGTAAGAATGATATTCTCAAGTATTGATTGTAAACTCAGTGGGATGAATAATTGCTCTAGTGGGTATGAGGACAGTCAACTGTTGTCCTCTCCTGAATGGAACATCACAACTGCACGTAAGCATGTTAGGTTAGAACATGTTCCTAATACAGCTTCCTCTCCACTGGATGTCAGTCCATTCTAGCTGCAATATCATTTAAATCCCTCGTTCTGATGGAGAGTTGGGGAGTGCCTGGTCCTTGCTGTGTCCAAACCTTCGTTAGATGTGCTGTTGCTTATTTAGGGCTTCCAGCTACGGGCGGCCCCTGACTTGCAACGCGATTGGTTCCTGGGGAAGCGTCACAAGGCAGGGGTGTCGTAAGTCGGGAATTTTTGGCCCCTTGCGCACTTACAAAAATGGTTGTATATGCAGGGAGTTGTAACTCGGGTGGTCGGAAGCCAGGGGTTTCCTGTAGTTTGTATTCATGTAGCCCTGCAAGTCCGTGGATATCCGCTTCGTACTCGTGCATGTGGATAGCCACAGTACACATTTTTCATCTAGAACCTTGCAAATGTGTAGATGTGGAAACAAATTTTGTATCCTCACATCGTGCACTCGACTAATTCGAGGAAGGAAACTGATATTTCTCCTTAGCTTTCCTTGACTAGCCCATTGTATCTGCCATAGTAACTACTCTAGGATGCAAGGGCGCATTCCCATTGTCTACTACCTTATCACCCGTTAACGCAGTGATGTAACTTAGCACTTGCACTTTCTGCTTTACCGAACTACCCACTCGGGGAGTAGATTATTAGTACTTCTATAGGTCGTTTCTTCCCTAAGCTTCAGTTAAGCCTGTGATCTTGTCCGCTTGGAAATACTGTCTCTCATATAGCTGAAGACTGAGTCAGAGCAGTGCTCTTCTTCCTGACAGGAAAAACAAGACTACTATAGTTATTTTAGAGGTTCTTCGTTTAGTCAGTTAACGACAGCTTTCAACGTTTGCTATAAAAGAAAAGCTGCCGCTGCGGCTAGGTGTCCCCAGCTTTAAAAGTTGCGACCCATGTCAGGACTCAATGCTTCTTTCTGATGGTCGTGCCTCCTGCGTTAAATGCCCTGGGAGAGACTCGTGCAGAACATAAGTGCCCGTACTGTCAGAACTCCAGTCATCTGAAGAAGTGGGCTGTGCTCACGAAGGCTCATGATACCATCTACATGTTTTGTTTGCAAAGTGCTACCAAACCATGTCAGAACCTTACAGAGCCAGAAAAGACTGCAAAATGTGGCTCAAAAACCTCTGGGGGAACTCCCTACAACCACCATGGGACAAACCTGAGGAGACACGAGGACGGCAAACCATTGACAGAATGGCTTCACCACCCTGCAAAGGCTTATAAGCTTTGCAGGCTTCCCCAGCATGCTCATTACTAGCACTGCCCAGAAACTTGTTCCCCAGTGCCGCGGAGAAGTGCAAGTCTGCACCAGCCGGGAGAGCTGAGTCAGGACCCAAATGCACCGCACCGGTCGGCACTGCTGAGGCAATGGCAGCCACAAAGCTGCATATGCCACCACCAGCAGCTCCCATAGGCACCGCTACAGTGCCTGAACAGACCATCCCTGGCCAGACCAAACTTGACCACGCTCTGGCATCGCAGCCTAAGAAAGCGCTGCGCAAGTTGTGGCACTTACAAAAATCTCAGCCAGGCACACTGCTCAGACTGGGAGCTTGCTCATTGCACTCCTCATTGGTGTCTGATGCCCAGGGGCTCTCCTGTGCTGCTCTTACCACAAACTAACAATGGCAGCGAACATAGGAGCAGATTTTCATCATGCCATTCATCTCCATTGGGATCAATGGCTTCCTGGTGTTCATATCGTGATTATTCCCTACTACAGAGTTGGCTCTCAATCTACATTCCAACCCGAGACAGCCTTGCAAGACATCTTACACTTCCTCTGCCAGTGCTACAATCTCTCGACTGGTGGAGTTCTCCCACCAACCTCCTTCCTGGTATTCCCTTCCACCACCCAGGTCCATCAGTAACTATCACTTATGGGCTGGAGTGCCTGTTGTTGCTCATGGTCAATACAGTGCATACGGTCTCAATGGAGAGATTCCTCCATATCAACATCCTCGAACTCAGGTCCAGTCGTCCCTTGGCCTGATAGAGGGCAGAACCATTCGCGTCCTCATAGAACACCCTCTATGTTCTACATCAATCTATGGAGGTGCCCGATCACACTCGCTATGTGCAGAAGCAATCAGATTTTGGAACTGGTCTATCAGGAACCACAGAACTCCAACTGCCACATATATACCAGGACCGCGACAAACTGAGCAGATGCTTCTCAGACCAACATGAGTGGGAGATCAACACCAACAGTCTCTCTGTTTTTTGCATGTGGGGTTTCCCAGCTATAGACCTTTTTGCAACAGTACTCAACCACAAATGCCACAGGTTCTGCTCCCGAGCAGAGCTGGGCAAGAGGTCGGAGGAAAAAGCCTCCTGTACACCTTTCCACCGATCCCTCTGCTTGCCAGAGTGATCAAGATTCACTCTGACCAGGCCACAGTAATTCTAATAGCCCGCGCCTGGCCAAGACAACCCTGATTCCCTTACCTGCACTACCTCTCGATAGATCAACCCATTCCTCTCTCCCTGTGGTGCCAAACCTCAGTGCAGCACCACGGCAGGACATGCCATCTGAACATCAAAACTTCAGCATGGCTTCTCCATGGTTCCAGAATGAAGAACTTACCCGTTCAGACAGGGTCAAACACATCCTATTGAACTGTCAACTACCCTCCACGAGAAACACCTATCAGAACAAATGGACACGTTTTCAACAATGGTGCACGACTCACTGCTTACATCTCTATACCGCTCCTATACCTCCCGTGCTGGAGTATCTCATGGACTTCAGTGACACGGGTCTCTGTCAGTTCTATCCATGTCCAGTTGATGGCAGAGTTCCATGAACCTGAGGACGACACCTCTCTCTTTGTATATCCAATGGTGAAGCAATTCCTCACAGGCTTGTGGAAAATAAGCTGTGCCACCATAGCACTTGAACTTGGTCCTTGACGCTTTCACCAGGCCACCCTTTGAGCCACTAGCCACTGCATCACCACAGTACCTGTCCATGAAAGGACCCACCTTTCACTACCTTTACCAGGGATAAAGTTACCCTCAGGCCTCACCTGAAGTTCTTCTCGGAGGTCATATTTTCCACCTAAATGAACCCATTTACTTACCTGCTTATTTTCCTAAGCCTCATACCTCCTCAAGGAGGCCATCTGGCACACAATGGATGCAAGATGAGTGAGTGTGTTCTGGGCCACATACAGGAACAGCCATCTTGGCACAACATCTATCCAAATGGATTGCCAGCTGCACATACACAGCTTATGAACTCCGTGGCAAGCATCCGCCACAGTTTGTCAGGCCTCGCTCCACGCATGCAATGGACACAACGCCCTTCCTAAATGTGCCATTGGTGGACATTTGTAGAGCAGCTACATGGTTCTCCCATCACACTTTCGCACATTACGCCCTACAGAAAGGGCCACTGCCCTCCACATCTCTGGCAGATGCAGTCCTTCCTTCCTCTACATGATGACTCCAGTGCCCACTGCCATCTGGCAAGTACTGCTACTGAGTTACCTGAGTGGAGCACTCACAGGGACACCACTTGATGAAGAAGTTACTCACCCTCTGCAGTAACTATGGTTCTTTGAGCTGTGGCCCCTGTGGGTGCTCCACTCCCTCCTCCCCTCTGCTTGGAGTCTAAGGGATTTCAGGTAGAAAAGGAACAGAGGGGCCTCATGCTGCACACGGCGCAAGGCGCACTGCTCCCCGAAAACCTCCGATCAGCAGCGCGAGATCCCACTGAAACCTGAGTGGAGCGCTCCCGGGGACACACATCCCAAAGAGCCATCCTTACTGCACAGGGGGAGTAACTTCTTTCCCTGTAGCCCAGTGTCATGCTGTGGAATGAACTGGAGTATAAACTACCTGAAAGGCTAAGGCCTCGAGCTTTTAATCTCCCCTGTTTGTTTTCTGTGCTGCTGCTGCATCCAGAACAGAAGTGTTCAAGCCTGGTTCTCTCTGTCATCCCATGCCTAGCTGAACTGCATCAGGAACAGAGACCGTTCAGAGTAACAGCCCCCAGGAGCTGCCCAGGACTTCCACGTGGTGTAAAATCCCAACACTGAAGGAGCTTCTCTCATTTAGTCCAGCCACTAGATGGTGCAGCAATGCTGCCTAGTCTTGCTACATGTACAAAGGCTTCTGGGAGAGGGCTCCAAGGAAGACCGGTCTCTGGGTGGTTTTGCTTTGGCAGAGAAACGGCTTTGCTGATGGGCCATGAGGCCTCTGGGTCTGTGGGCTAGGAGACGACGGTGGTCTTAGCAGTAGGCATGGGGACTTAGTTACTCCAGGTGTGGCTCCCTGCCAGGCCCAGCCTGCCACACTCCTTGTTCTGTGGGTCAGGTAGGCTCACAAGGATGCAGCTCTCGCATTTGATATAAGAACAACAAAGCGGGTCCCATGGGCAGGGCTGGATGAACACAGCTGCCAGCACGGGTCCGGGGGTAGAGGGGTAGAGTTAACAGGACAGACTTGCAGTGCCCACGGCCCTGTGCCTTTACTGCTGCAGGGCAGGGCCTCAGCTCTGCCCACGTGAAACAAACAGCTACAGCGCTTAGCCAGAGCCCTCAGGCAAGGGCTGCCCAGCCTGGATCAGTGTCATGGGGTCAGTATCCGCTGCTGCAGAGGAATTGTGCAGGACCAACCACGCATGGGCTATTGTGCCCTTGGCAGCTTTGTTCTAAGAAGGGTTTCTAGTGACCAGAGCAGTGTCCCTCCAAGCACAGGGGTAGCCCAGCATCCGCAGCAGGAAATAATTCTTGCCAGGAGTTAGTCCTGGTGAAGGCAAAGCAGCCTGTCATTGGCGCCGGTGTTAGTGGGGGAAGGTAACACAAGT